TATTTTTTTAAATTCGAAAATTATCCGCTTTTCTCTTTTTGAGCAAGTTCCGAGAAGCAAAATGTTGACTTCTCCTTCTTCAAGGTTAATTTAAAAAGATGGCTTGGTTGAAGCTGTAAGAGCAGTAACAATCAGCCTCAGTCGTTGCTTCAGTCCTATGGACACTAGCAAGGATGCCACCTGGTTGTTTACACGGCATTTTAGAATGTCACTGCCTTGGTGTGGTGCTGTGAGTAGAATCTAAATTTATTGTGCCTGTCACTCTTCTTCAGAGGGTTTCTGAAATATATATTTTTATTGACTTCAGAGAGGAAAGGAGAGGGGGAGAGAGCTGGAAACATCAATTATGAGAGAGAATCATAATGCTTTTAGTTTCTGCTGCCTCCTGCACCCAGGACCCTTCAGTCCACAGGCCAACGTTCTATCCACTGAGCCAAACCAATTAGTGCTAAGCCCAGTTTTTGAGGACATGCCCAGAAGCAAGATCGTAAATGATTGAGAAGATGCTCTGGAGAGTGGCATTCTGAGTTCCTTTTATGCATTTAGAATCAAAGGACAGAAACACAAGGAAGGTACATGAAATCCCTTGGTGGTAGATTAAGGAGGCAGGAGAAAGCAAAGTGGGGAAATTTCTAGAATTGGATAAAGGTTGGCTTTTTTTTTTTTTTTTTTTTTTTTTTTAATCCTCACCAGAGGAGTGAGGATATTTTTTCCTATTGATTTATTTTTAAAGAGAGTGGAAAGGAGGGTCAGGAAAAGATGGAGGGAAAGAGAGATGCATCACTGTGCAGGCTGACACTAACCACGGAGCAAAGCTGGCCAGGCAGTGGTTGGCTTTTACCTTTTCTCTTGCTGATTGTGCCATTAATGGTTTTCTAAAAGTTTTCTGAAAGTCTTCAATTTTGTGACACCTATAAAACACCAGTATATCCTAAAAAGGGGAATATTTTAGTACTTCCTTTTTTCTATATTTGTAATTTTCCCCTAGCTATCAGAATTGGATTAGAAGTTACCCAAGGAAAAGGAAGGAGAATCCTATACAGTTATATATATATGATCTAATTTGATGGGAATGGGTGTGTTAGGTTTGTTAGGAAATTGAAATAGAACACATTCACAGTAAACCATTTTAGTTAGTTTTATTTATCAGGTTTTCACTCTCTTTTTTTTTTTAAGGGTTTAAAAAATTTTATTTGGAGATAATTTCAAATATATAAAATTGTTGCAAAAAATAAAAAGAATAGAAAAAAAAAGCACCTAAATATTCTATATCCTGATTCAACTAATGTTAAGATTTTACCCCATTTGCTTTCTCTTTTTCTCAATATTACGTACCAGTATGTTTAAATGTATATACATTTGTCTTTTATGACATTGACAATTTTGAAGAATATAGTCTCCCCTCCTTTTTTTAAATATTGTTGGAAATTAAAAAAAAAGTGGCAATTTATTTTTTATTGTAAATTGATTTTTAGAGAGAGGGGAAGGGAGGAGGAGAGCGAAACACTGATGTGAGAGTAAAACATTGATCGACTGCCTCCTGCATGTTCACTACTTGAGATCCAGCCCATAATCCAGGCTGTGCCCTGACTAGGTATTGAACCAGCAACCTTTTGATGCTCAACCAGCTGAGTCACACTAGCCAGGGCCATTGCTGGAATTTTTTTTTTTAATGAGATAATAATTCAGATACCATACAGTTCACCTTTTAAAAGTGTGCAATTTGGTGGGGTTTTGTACATTCATCAGATGGTGCATCCTAACATCTAATTCCAGGACATTTTTATCACAAAAAGACACCTTTAGCAGTCACTCCCCATTGTTCCCTCCTCCCATCCCCTGGCAACCGTTAGCAATCTACTTTCTGTCTCTGTGGATTTGCCTATTTTAGACATTTCAATAAATGGAATCATACAATATGTGACCTCCAATGTCTGGCTGTTTTTCAAAGTAGAATGTTTTTAAGGTTCATCTGTGTTGTAGTATGAATCAGTATGAGTAATATCCCATTGTATGGATTAACATCATTCCATTGTATGAATATAGCACATTTTGCTTAACATTCATCATCTGATGGCCATTTGGATTGCTTCTACTTTTTTTTTTTTTTTTTAGCTATTATGAATAATGCTGCTATGAACATTCTTGTACACTTTTGCATGACCATATATTTTCAGTTCTCTTGACACATACTTAGGAGTGGAATTGCTGGGTCATATGATAACTCTGGTTAAGTGTTTGAGGAACTGCACTCATTATTTTTAGTTTCATTTCGAGAAATTTTGTCTTCTCTTTGAAAGTTCAGGACAGTGATTCAGGGGTTGGGATGAGTGTTTTTGTGGATTTTTTTTTTTTTTCAACTTCAGATGACCTTCCAGAGATTTAATATTGAGAATAACTTAAAAGCCTGGAATGGTGCTCTTCTATTGACCTGAAAATGAAATACTAGGATGATCTGACCTAGCAAAATAGTTCTTTTCAGTTGTGTTTAATGGATTTTAATGCTTTTAGTTTCTGTTTAACCCTATAAAGAGATTGTTGGCAACCTTACTTGTTTTAAGAGGTAAGAATGCTTCCTAATTAGGATTTTTAAAAAATCCTTATCCAGTGGTTTAAAAAGGAAAACTGGGAATCCATTCAATACAGGTTTGTTTTTTTAAAATTTTTAAAAAATCATAGAGAAAAAAAATGAAACTATTTAGTATTAGTCAAAGTCCTTTAAATGGAAGAAAATCTTTAAATGAATTTTGTGAGTATAATTATTTTGAAGGTGTGATGGAAGATCAGATAAAAACACAAGAATAAAGTTTGCTTGGATAATATTTTAATCTCTGTAGTAAATTGTTCCTACCTGATAGAAAAGAGTTTGTGTTTTTATCTACTTTAAAATCTCTTTAGTCATAGGTGAGAAGTTCTGTAAATATGTTAGGAAGATGAAGAAATACAAAATTGAATTAACGATAAGAATATGAATAGGGTTGAAGAATTTTGTGAGATGTCAGGAAAATTTAGTAACATTTAACTTAAATCTAAGGCTACAGGGACTATGAACTCAATTGTCTTTAAGTTATGAAGTCTCTCCTATACAAAATAAGTATTAGAGTCACTGAGAAGAATCCAGAATGCCCTGGCTGAAATCTCTGATAATAATAATACCTCCATCAGTTAAAGTGATATAACCAAAATGTCCTGAAATGATGTAACTGTTTCAAGAAGAGACAGGCAGTTTTTAAACTTGGAAAGATTTAAATATAAAATATTTGATAATTTGACTCATGGTTTTAATGGTTTTATGCCGGTGAGGCAGTACATTTTTTTTGTGTGAGTGTGTGCACTTGTTACTTAGCCCTTTGGAGTAATATGTCAGTCTTCTAATTCTGTTTTTAAATTCATAATTAAGTACTTGACCTATTCTTGTGGTTTTTAAATCAAAATCTTACCAAATTTGTATATGTATGTATGTGAATATTTATGAAAAGTTAAGACTCACTGTATTAGTACATTTAATTTATTAGACTTATAAAGATTAGTATAAGTACTTGGATACTTTTATGAGACTGGTGAAATGTCTAATGTTAAGTAGGATTTCTCAGTGTATTTAATGAAGCTTGTAAATGCTACTGAATATTATCCCAGACTCTTAAAAGTAATCTTTGGTTGGATGCTTGACATTGTGAATGTAATACTGTTACGTGCTCGATTGTTTTTTTCTTTGCCAAGTATTGGACTTTGTTCTTGTGAGCTGTTATTTGTGGATTAACTTGAGCCTCACAGGGCTTGGTTCTTTAAAAAACTTTTTTTTTAATTTATTGATTTCAGAGAGGAAGAGAGAGAGAGAAACAGATAGAAACATCAATGATGAGAGAGAATCATTGATCGGCTGCCTCTTGCACGTCCCACACTGGGGATCGAGCCTGCAACTGGGCATGTGCCCTTGGCCAGAATCAAACCTGGGACCCGTTAGTCTGCAGGCCGGTGCTCTATCCACTGAGCCAAACCAGCTAGGGCAAGGCTTGGTCCTGAGTTTGATTAGGGAGAATCTTCAGCAGACCTGACACTAAGGCTAGCTTTGCTATGAAAACACAACCCTTCTTGGGTCTACTGAATGTTCTCGGTGTTCAAAGAGCCGAGACCTCTCTAGGGGGGTAGGTCTTAAGTGACAAATCCCCAATTATTCTTGGCCTAGTCTTGTGGAGTTCGATAGTCAGTTCTCAGGCTCTTTCTCTGATAGTTCCTATTCCCCAGTTTTCTATCCTATGAACACTATAGCTCAGTTTGTTATTAATTAGAAATGACATACATATCTTATAACAGAAACCCACCCTGAAACCTGTATGTTTATGTTGACCAATGTCACCCCAATACATTTAATAGAAAATAAAAGAATGACAGTGTTCTCATACTTGTGAGGGCAATTAAACGAGTTGATGAATATAAAGCATTTCCCACAATGCTTGGTTAATAATAGGAGCCAAATAAATAGGTTTTTTACTCTTGTTGTTTTGTTATTATTTTATTATTATTGTTGTTATTCCCATCCTACTATTGATAGGACACATAGGTATTTCAGTAGATGTTTGCTGAATTAATGTATTAGTTTCAGTTAACATTTTTATCTTATCTAGTTTTATTTATTTTAAATATATTTTTATTGATTTCAGAGAGAAGAAGGTAGAGGGAGAGAGAGAGAGAGAGAAATATCAATGAAGAGAGAGAACCATTGACCAGCTGCCTCCTGCATGTCCCACACTGGGGACTGAGCCAGCAACCCAGCATGTGCCCTGACTGGGAATCGAAGAGTGACCTCCTAGTTCATAGGTGGATGCTCGATCACTGAGCCACTTGGGCTGGGCACTTTATCTATAGTTTTAAATTTGTTTGAAATTTGTAGAAAATAAATAGCCTGTGAATATGTTTTATAGCATATCTTCTGGTAAATTTTTAATATTTGCTACATGGTTAGAACAGATACTGAAATGCTGTCTCTTTTTCAATTTTAGAGAATTATTACTACATCTCTCCATTAGTTGGTGTCTTTTTCTTGGCTCTAACTCCTATCTGGATTATAGTAGCAGCCAAACATCCAGCCACGAGGACAGTGCTCCACTCAGGCTGGGAGCCTGTCATAACAGCTATGGTTATAAGTAGGTTAGTATTAAATGTGTGTGTGTACGCAATCCATATGCCTGTATCTATGTGTACATGAAAACAAATCAGTTGCCTTTTTTTATTTCTTGGGTCAATTATATTATGTATATTGGTTCAATTCTTTATTACCCAAAGTAATCATGGATAAACACTGAGTGGCCAGATTATTATGATCTCTGAACACATAAAAATCTGGCCACTTGGTGTGTGTGGGTGTATATTAGAGGCCCGGTGCATGAATTCGTGTATGGGTGGGGTCCAGCCAGCCTGGCCAGGGGTAGGGGACATGGGTGGTTGGCATATTAGCCTTTTATTATATATTATATACACTGAGTGGCCAGATTATTATGTGTTCAGAGATCACAATAATCTGGCCACTCAGTATATGTGATAGAAATTACAGAAATCAGTAGATGTAGAGAACCTCATTTGGCTACCAGTTTTATTTTATCTATCTATTTAAATATATTTTATTGATTTTTTGCAAAGAGGAAGGGAGAGAGATAGAGAGCTAGAAACGTCAATGAGAGAGAAATATTGACCAGCTGCCTCCTGCATACCCCCCACTGGGGATGTGCCCGCAACCAATGTACATGCCCTTGACCAGAATCGAACCTGGGATCTTTCAGTCCGCAGACTGACGCTGTACCACTGAGCCAAACCGGCTTCAGCTGGCTACCAGTTTTAAACTTCTCTCCAACCAAATCTTTACCAGATTGCTAAGTGAAGTTTAGTGGTGTTTGCCTTTGTATGTGTGTGTTTGTATGTGTGGGTGTGTTTTTGTGTGTATATGCTATAACCTGACAAGAGCATTACTTGTTTTTCATAGCAAATTGCTCAGATAGGTATCAGAAACCCTTAGAAATGTGTATACCATTCAACTATTTCCACTTCTAGGCCTCTCACAGGACTTAAGGATATAATTAAAGATATATGCAGCAGATTTAGTTCCAAGGATCCTAATCACCGTGGAATTTTTAATGAAAGAAAGAGAGAATGCCTTAGAAACCAAGCAGTCAGATATTGATCAAATAAAGTGTGATGCAGTCACAAAAAGGAATCTCAGTCAGCCATTAAAAATAGCATTGTTATAATTCTTTGACAGGGAAAGGTGTTCATTATATTCTTGGTGAAAAGAGTAAGCTGAAAATGAGTATCAATTTCCTGTTAAACATAGTAGATTGAAGTGTTTATCTTCCTTCCTGAAACTACCAATATGACAATAAAAAGATAAAAAGCTATAAAACTACAAAAAGAAGGAAAACAGAGAGGACAGCAAGTGAGAAATTCCTAAGATAGGAATCAAGTGGATAGCTGTGAACGAACAATAAAAGCTAAAACCCAACCACCAGCAGGGGGAGCACCTAGTAGAAACACAGGGATCTGAGCCTCAGGAATCCGGAAAGGTGGAGAATTCGGGCCTTGAGTACTCTGAAAGCTGAAGTGAAGATTGGTTAACAGTGTATGTAAGAAGCAATTAGGTCCTAAAAGCCCTTCTCTAGTTCTACCACTCAGGTAACTGCCCCTCCCACCTTGGCACAAGACAAGACTTCACTCTGGAGAGACTACATGGGAGAGGCTCCAGATTCAGAAGCTCCTGCTGGGAGTCAGGCTTATAGCTCCAGGCAAGAAGTTAGATAATGTCTTTCTGGGGGAAGGACTTCAGTTCAACAGAAAAACCTGCCTGTATTGACCCTGGCAGGTCTTTTAGTGAAGGAGCTGCATGCCCACCTGGCCATTGGTCAGTGAGGCCCACCTGCTGACCAGCTCTGCCCAGGCACACAGACCTCCAGTTGTGCTTTCCCGTGCCCTGTCAGGAGGGGGAGACTAACCCTTCACCAGACATTTGATTAAGCTTCTAACAGGAAAGATGGAGACAAAAAATGGTACTCAAAGAAAGTCTAGAGAGAGTTGAAAAACCTCAAAAAAAACTATCTCCAATGTCCTCAGAAAAATAAATGAAGTGGTGGCATCCACAATTCGGTAAGAACAGAATGATTTCAGGGGAGAGTTTAAAAACAACAACAACAACAAACAAACAGGAAGAGCTCTTGGTATTCGGAAATACACAAATAGCAGAAACAAAATCAGTAGAATAGATAGAAGGTAGAACCATCCTGGAAAGTAAAACAGAGAACAAAGAAGTAGACAACTGGAGGCAAACAGTAAGGACAGGAAATTATCAAATAAATAACATCAGGGAATTCCCAGACCTGAAGAACATGGGCTTCCTAAGGACAGGGCCCATGGCGGGTCTAGCACAATGAGCTGGAGTAGGAGGGACCCAAACCAAAGCACGTTGTCACAAATCCCCAAGCTTCCAGAATAAACACGAGTTGCATGTAAAGGACTGGGAATCAGAAGTGAGTCCTTCAAAATTCCAAGGGATCATTTTGTGAACATAAAATATGGCCTCAGTATCAACCGAACATAAGGACAGATTCAGGAAGTTTTCAGACACACAGGATTTCAATATCGTTCTTTCCCTTATGCCCTCTCATATAAAAGTTGACAAAAGACAATTTTATCAAAGTAAGGAAGTAAGATACAAGACGACATAGAAATGAGGATAGGTTCGTTTTTCTCTAAGGTAGGTTGTTGTTTTTTCCGGGAGGATTCAGGAAACAGGATCCTGTGCAATGCTGGGTGGGAGCTGGTCACAGTCATAGACGAGGCCTCCTCGTGGGGAGACTGGAGGGTAGGTAGGGATGACAGCCGTGCCCCAGGCCCAGAGAGCAGCTGTCCAGGTGTTGGGAGAATAGTGGGTTTCAGGAGCAATGTCTCCAAGAAGAAAGAAAGTGGAATCGATTGATCACCTGTCGGGTGAGCTTGACTGTAATCAGGGGCATGTCATTAACTTTGCTACACATTTGAGGCTGAATTAGTAATAAGCAGCTAAAAATTTTAAGAAAAATATGAGACAAAGCTAACAGTACAAGTGAGGAATCTAACAAGATGCTGTGTATTTCAGTTGTGAGTTATGATCCCATTGTTATTATAAAATAAACCCTAAATGTTTCACCAAAAATGATAACCAGACTGTTGGGATAGAGAGAGGAAGAGAATTGTGAAGGGACTAAAGTGAGGAGGGAGGAGTGAGATTAAACCCTCCATCTGCCACAGTGGATGCCGTTAGGGAGATGTTTGAAATTGTAAGTCAGGAAATAATAGGGAAAATGTGTTATTTAGAAACACAGAATTAAATGTCAGAAGAAGCAACTAACACAGTTGAAAAGAATTGCTAGTGGAAGGCAGGATCTGGGGGGGTGGGACCAGGGACTATTTCATAAGCTTAGTGGTGCTTTCACTTTTTAAATAATGCCCAGGTGTTTGTTTGCTAGAAATAATTTTGTTTTATCTTCACCCGAAGATATTGTTCCTTTGATTTTTAGGGAGACTGGAAGCAAGAGGGAATGACAGAAAAACATCGGTGTGGGAAAGACTCATCGATTGGTTGCCTCCTGTATGCGCCAGACCAGGGCCCAGACCAGAGAGGAGCCTGCAACCTGAGCATGTGCTCTTGACCGGAATTGAACCCAGGACCCTTCAGTCTGCAGGCCAACGCTCTGTCCACTGAACCAAACCAGCGAGGGCATGCTAGAAATAAAATATAATAAAAGTGAAGGAAAATACTTTTACAATTCAGGTTTTTATTTTTAAACATAAACACGTTTTAAAATGTCTGGGAGGGCATTTACTAGCATGCTAACAGTATACCTCTGAATGATGTAACTATGGTTGACTTTTATTTGCTTCTTTTTACTTGTATTTTCTATAGCAAGTTTTAATACCTGGGCAACAGAAATATTTTTAAATGTTTTTCTGCAAGTGTTCATTGTATATGCATTTAAAGTATATACTTTCCTTTTTTATAAGTAATTTATCTTGGAGATCAGAAAGAGAGCCCTGAAATGTGGGGCTACAGCTTATATTATGTTTAATTTCAACATTTGTGTTGACATTGATTTTTACCTTGAATATATTGTATTTTATCTATTTTTTAGTGTCTAGTTTTTTTTATTTTTTAAAACAATCTCTTGTCCTAACCAGTTTTGTTCAGTGGATAGAACATCAGCCTGAGGACTCAAGTGTCCCAGGTTCGATTCTGGTCAAGGGCATGTACCTTGGTTGCAGGCACATACCCAGTAGGGAGTGTGCAGGAGGCAGCTGATCTATGTTTCTCTCTCATTGATGTTTCTAACTCTCTATCCCTCTCTCTTCCTCTCTGTAAAAAATCAATAAGATATATTTAAAAAAAACAACGAACATACAAATCTCTTTTTAAAAATATGTTCTTATTGATATTTAGAGAGAGAGGAATAGAGAGCAATAGAGAGATATAAACATCGATGGGACAGAAACTTCATCATTGGCTGCCTCCTGCATGTCCCCTACTGGGGATAAAGCCCGAACCCTGGGCATATGCCCTGACCAGAAATCAAACCAATGACCTTTTTCTTCCTGGATTGACGCCCAACCACTGAGCGACACCAGCCAGGCTCAGGCTAATCATTTTATCTTTAAAAGTAGGGGTTTGTTGATAAAGAACAGCTTCAAATTACTACATTTCCTTTCCTCTTCCCTAAATTATATGATTCTGATTCTTTCAGCATTGGAGGCCTTATTCTGGACACAACTGTATCCGATCCAAACTTGGTTGGAATTGTTGTTTACACACCAGTTATTAATGGTAAGGATTAGATATACTATTCATAACGATATCAAGTCTTTCTGTGCTCTTAAATGCCAATAGGAACCTTAGGGCTCTGATTTAAAGAGGCCTGTCTGTCCCATCCATTCATTCTCTCTCCAACCCCAGGTTACTGCTCAGAGTGGAAATGACATTACCTTTTTCAACATGCAGAACACATTTTTTAAAAGAACTGTTTCTTAATCTTATCACTGATAAAAGTGTGAGAGTCAGGCATACCTGATTTTTAAGGGTAGTGAGGCAAAATATGCTATTTCAGTTCTGGATATTTGGGCTGTATCTGCTATCTGTTGTGTTGTTTTACAGCCGCTCATATCAATTTTCATGGATAAATTAGAGTTAGCTTAGTTTGACTCAGTTGCTTGAGTCAGTTGAGTCCATGAAAATCTGTCATCCCCCACAGTAAATTCAATAAAAATTAAAAAGAAAAAGAAAAGAAATCAATCAGTCCTCTGCTTATCCTTTTAAAATCTGCCTAATGTTTTTTCTTATCTATAAAATGGGAATTAGAGTACTTAAGTTCACAGAGAGTTTTCTATGGATTCTGTTTAATAAGATAATTTTAATCCAGTCCTTCTGGGTTTTGGTCTTGCTCTCATTAAATTGGATTTGAGTATAGCCCAAGTGAATATACTATAATAGTAATTTAAAAAGTAATTCTGCCTGGGGAAAATATGTCACAGGATATACTACACATCTAGCATAAATTATTTTTTATTTACTTATGTATAAGAAAACATTTTATTATGAAGGTAAGTTCTCCAAGATCCAAATTATATCTAAAATTTCTACTCTACATTAAATTTTTATATAGCTTTAGAATGTGCAGAGCATATAAGAAGATAATCTAGATTAAAAGATAACTCTTGAGGTTTTTTTTTTAGTGCCGTATACAGATTTCTTCAGTAACCTGAGAAGAAAAGTATCTAGCCTTGTCTTTTGAATAAATCTAGCATACGTTCTCTCTCATGAAGATGATAAACATGATACATCTTAAAAACTTTGTTTTATATCTTGGGATTGATAGTAACTTTTAAAAAGTACTTATTTTGGTCTGCTTTCAGACCAGACAGAAAATCTTGACCAATCAGACTTGGGAAAATAATGTCTTTCATCACAACGTTTTTCACGCCTTTGGAATATCTACCTCCACTTAAATAAATCCGCGTCTCAGAAGAGCTTTTTATTCTGTTTCATTGGCCCAGGGCGTGACAGAGAGAGGCTTGCAGCTGGCTGAATTTATGCAGGTTGTTTACAATATGAGGCTACCCACTCTGTTTTGCTGTGTTCCAGGGATTGGTGGCAATTTGGTGGCCATCCAGGCGAGCAGGATTTCTACGTACCTCCACTTGCACAGCATCCCAGGAGAACTGCCTGATGAGCGCAAAGGCTGCTACTACCCATTTAGGACGTTTTTTGGTTCAGGTATGTGCTTGTGGGTTTTTTCCTATTTCATTTCAGGAACTTTTCCTCTCTGTGAGGCGAGGCGGGCAACCTTTGCTGGATATGTATTTTGTGAGTGTTGCACAACTTGGTTATTTCTGAGTGCTAAATAGCTCTTAATTAGGACAGATTTCGTTCACTAAGTCTCAGTGAGCAAAAATCATTTGTATCAGTTCGCAGTTGTTGAGGAGCTCTGTATGATTTTTCTCTTTTATCCCTTTCTCTGGGATATTGTGTTATTGAGTCGGAAAGAGGAACCTCGTGGATATAAGCAAACATCGCTAGGTGATTTAGGGAGACAGGTAGACTGTCTTTCCTGGAGTGATTTTTTTGGCCTTCTCAATGGAGGCATTTGATCCCAGATAAACGGAATGAGGGGTGATAACCTCAGTTACAAGAAACATGCTTTATTTATGCCAACCAGGCATGTGAGTACAAAACACGAAAACAACAATTTAAGCCTCACAATTCTTGTCATTTTCTTTTTCTGATGAAAATAAATGTAATTGTGACTTTTGAATGAGGATCAGAGATGCCCAGCCTGTGATATCAGTGGAAGAACTCTAAAGGAAAAGCAAAATGAAAACATTTCAGTGCCGTAGAAGCTTTATATTTTTTCTTTGGTCTTTCCTCTGTTTTTGCGAAAAGTTTGACCAGTGTTCTTCATAGCAAATTTTGATCAACCACCTTTTGTTTAACATATAACATAGTGAGAATTCCAAAGAAATTTATTTTTAGCCAGTAAATTTTAAGTGATGCAGTAACTAAAAGGTAATCCCCAAATTTCAACACATTTATTTTTAGCAGTTGAATTTTATGTGATGCTATGTGGTATCGTAACGAGAAAGTAATCCTCAAATTTCAATAACTGACCTATTAACCAAAATGTGATTTTGTTTTAACAATGTTTGCATTTTACATCACAGGAGTAAATCACAAGTCTGCTCAAGTTCTCCTGCTTTTAGTGATTCCCGGACACTTAATTTTCCTCTATACGATCCATCTGATGAAAAGTGGCCACACTTCTCTAACTGTAATCTTCGTAGTAGTATACTTATTTGCTGCTGTGTTACAGGTAAGAAGTAAAACCTCTTGTAATCTCTTTTATGCTCAAATTGATGTAAACATATAACTACCTGTAAACCTAAAGGCATGGAATATTTTAACATTTAAAAAAATGAACTTACTGTCTTCATAATGATTTGATCTTAAAACTAATAACTCAAGACCTGTTTTAATATGATCTGATTGATCAGTAGAACCTTTGGATTTCCTGTTTCCTGGATCCCATGTCTTCCTGTGTTTTTTTTATTCTCGTTTTATATGACTACATCATCTAATAGATTTCTGAGAAAGAGTGCAACAGAGTACATATTTTGAGCCTTTTCATTCTTGTAAAATGCCTTGAAAAAATGTTTTTTTCTTTATTGATTTCAGAGAGGAAGGGAGAGAAATATAGAAACATCAACGCCAAGAGAGAATTAATTTCGGCTGCCTCCTGTATGCCCCACACAGGAGGCCGAGAGTGGAACTTGGGCATGTGCCCTGACCGGGAATCAACCCATGACCTCCTGGTTCATAGGTCAGTGCTCCACCACTGAGCCACTTTTTTTTTTCTTTTTTCTTTCCTTACATCAATAGGTTAACTGGATATAGAATTCTGTTTCTTTTAGGAAACAGAGAAAGGAAATACTTCCTTGACTGTTAATTTTTCCCTTTACCGTTGAGAAGAACAGCAGATGCCATTCTCATGGCTGATTTCATTGTACAAATCTACTGTTATCTCCCTGGAGGCTGGCAAGATCTTCTCTTTCCCCCATTGCTCCCGAATTTTATGTTGATGAGCCCTGGTATTTGGACTGTTTTGTTGAGCATAGTTCAGCCTTTTCAATGTAAAAAATCGTGTGATTCTGTTGTAGGAAACTTTTTTGAATAGCTTCTTTGGAGATTGTCTCTCTTTTTCTGGAATCTTAATTGCTTGCTGGGACTCTTGCATTAAACTTCTTATCTTTTCTTATTCTCTATTTCTTTATCTTCTTTTCCTTTCTATGGGAGATTTCTGGGCTTTGTAAAACCTTTCACTGCTGTGTTACTGAAGTTATTGGAGAGAGTAGAGGTGAATGCATGTGCTTAGCTTGCCATCTTTATTTCATATGGAAGGCTATTGATTTTAAAATTGAAGAAAATTTTATTTTCAAAATGTGTGATCAATATAATGTACAGAATTTTAAGATTAAATAGTTCTAAAGGGTTCTACCTTTCAAGCATTTCTAAGATAGCCACTTTGAAATATTTTAGCTATTTCTTCTGGTAGTTAACTGTATGTTTTAAAGTAATGTGCCTAAATTTCTAAGTTGTTTTTTTTTTTAAATTAATCTCAGAGATGTCCTATCTTTCCCAAATAGTTATATTACAAGTTTTTGTCAAATTAGTAGTCAGTATTCCTATTATTAGGGCTATTTAAACATTGTTTACTATAGAGCCAGGTAATATACTGTGATTATATTTTCTTTTATTTTTTTTATTGGGGTTAATAATCACATATTTTTTCCATTTGTATCCTTTATTTTATGAATTGTTCTTAATTTTTTCCAATGGTTCTAGCTTTATTTTGATTTCTTAGTCATGGCTTCTTGCTAAGCTCTATAGGATCTGGTACTTCCTACACTGAGAAATCCTGACCCCTTAAGGAATGCATTCAAATAATTCTTTAGAGAGATAACATTTGAATTTGGCCTCCAGGGGTTTGACATACAAGAGTGAGGCTGGAAGATAGGTTTGTGGACACTATTCCAGGAGAAGGAAACTGTGATGCTAATGATGTGAAGGAAATTAACTGGTATTTACAGTGTTTCCAATATAACCAGTGCTGTTAAGTGCTTTACATGTTTTGTTTCAGTTAATTTTCACAAAGACTATCTGAGATTTCTTCTTTATATGTAAATCAGTAATTTTCAAAGCGAAGCATATGCGAAGTAATGCATCATGTATGGAAAGAAAAGATTTAAATGTCTATATGTTTTTCCTCGTTTGCTTAAAATGTTTTTTTTCTATTTTATGATTATTTTGTAATAAGCATACTATATTTGCACGGTGTTAAGTATGCTCAAATATTTTATACTGAAAGGGCTACATAATTTAAAACTTTAGAGATTACTGAGTAAAAGCATGGGGATGAAAAAGCACAGAGCTTATGAAAGAAAGAGAAAGTAGTTCATATATAGAAGGGAATAGATGAGATAAGGTTAAAGGGATAGATTAGGGAAAATGTAGATGGAAAGGCTTTAAACGCCAGGCAAGGGGGACTAGAATCTATTATCAGGATACCAAGAACCCTTATGACTTAATTGATATTTTAACTTTTCTATAGTTTTAGTGCTGTATATTTTATTAAAAGTCACCTGTAAATAATTCACTCACTTATTCAATAAACCTTCATTCTAGTAGATGCAGGGGTGGGTTTTAAATCCCAGGATGAATAAATTTATACCCTATCCTGAAGGACTCATAGTCTGGAGGGAAGACCACTACATGAACAAATAATTATAATTAATAAAATATCATAATCTCTCTATATAAAAGCCTCTCTATGCTGTGTCTCCTTGGGAGTTCAACTGACTGGGAATTCGATCACTTGCTATGATGTACACTGACCACCAGGGAGAGAGTGGGGGATGAAGGAAGGCCCGGACAGCAATCAGTAGCCACTAGGAACCCTACCCGTGCAAAAATTCCATGCAATGGGCCTCTAGTATAATATACCAAACTATGGGAACAGTTACATATAACTTTCTGTCAGAGCTTGGAAGAAAAAGCAACTACCTACCAGGGGAGTAATATTTTCCCACTGTTCAGTAAGAACAAAGTTATTTCAAATGCCTTTTTACTGCTGGCTACCTTTATTGCTTTATAAGATATGGTCATTTATTATAATTTATGTTCTCCTCAATCCCCTGGGACATATTCAGAGGCTATTCATTGGTCTGTTGATAAACATGCCATATTAGAATGTGTTCCTATTTATAACTCTACCTCTTTGCCTCATGGATTGATTTGACATTTGTTTCTTGTTCTTATGTCTCTTTCTCACTCATTCTAGAGAAAGGCTCTTTGTTTTACTCATTTTTTATATCTCCAGTATCTATCCCTATCTCCATTGCTCAGTGAATGTTTGTTAAACTGAATGACTATATTTTGTCAGCTCTCTCTCTTCCTTCAGTAGAAGGATGGGGAAAAAATTTACATCTACAATTAGGTCCTAGATATTCCACAAAACAAAACAAAACAAAACAAAACCACACACACACACACACACAGAAAAATCTAAATTTTCTCCTTGCTTTCAGTAAACACTAGTTTCTTCTCTTACACAGATATACGTATTCTATCTAATAAAGAGGGACATGCTAATTGACCCTCACATCATTGTGAAGATGGTGGCGCCCACATCCAATATGGAGGAAATATATTGTACTAATTGACTGCCCTTCCTTCAAAGATGATGGCTCCCACTGCCAACAGGGAGGGAATATGCTAATTGACTGCCACCTCCCAAAGATGGCAGCACCCAATCCCCAGGTGGGCCCTGCTGCTCTGCACTCCTACCTCCAGAGTCCCCCAGTTCTCTTAGCTCCCCAGCCACCCAGGTCCAGCCTGAGGTGCAGGAAAGCCTCAGATGGCAGCTGCCCAGCCACCCAGGGTTTCCCTTGGCTCAGGTAACCAGGGCCCGTTGAGGCTTGCGCTGCTGGCAGTGGCAACAGCAGAGGTGTGATGGGGCATTGCCTTCCCTTGATCGCTGGGTCGCCTCCCACTCCTGAGGTTTTCCAGACTGTGAGAGGGGGCAGGCCAGGCTGAGGGGCCCCCATCTAGTGCATGGATTTTTATGCACTAGGCCTCTAGTTTTAAAATAAAAGGCAGTGAACATAAAACACAAAACCTCACTGAACTGTTATCAATGTTCAGTCAAAATTGTAAGGATTTACTAGAGTGTTTAAGGGAAAAAATGACTTGATATCTAGGGGTATAGATAAAGCAGAATTGGTCATGAGTTGATAATTGATGAAACTGAGTGGTGGTACATGAGCTTGGTATTGGATTTGTACCCTGGGTGTCTACTTTTGTGTATGTTTGAATTTTTCTATAAAAGGAACTTTAGTATAGGAGCTTTTCAGAGTATTTTAGTTTTCTAATTTCGGTCCTATGGCCAGTTCTTCTGTCAAGTGAAAAGTAGAAAGTCCATTTGAGTTTGAAATTGTTTGGGACTTGGAATGGTTTAGTTTGTGTCTTATTTACACACTGACTCCATTATGTCGCAAATTATGTTGTTCAGGTATTTATATGGGTCTTGCAATTAAAAGGAACCTAACAAATGTGCCTTTGTTTTGTGATATTAAGGCCATTGAACCACAGATAGTAGATATGATGGATTGTTCTCTCATTCATGTTCTTGCCCAGTGCCCAAGAGCAATCAGAGTAATTGAAACATGTCAAGGCCAGAGTAACATGTGAATGGCATTCATATTTAGTACCCAATCAATCATGTTACATGCTATTTTTTTTCAAGAATAGGGATGGGTTGGCACCAAACTCACCATCTTATATTGCCCATTATACCTTTTGTGTCATTAGCGAGCATTTATGAGGCTGCTAGCTGTGGTTAAGGGTATTATTGTTGACCTTAGAACACAATTTTTCATCTATATCAAATTAGCCCATTGAACCTACAACTTTGATGTGCTAGAACCAGAGGGTACTTTCTTCTACAAACTTAGGGGCACCTGGGTTTTTTCTCTCCAAGCAGTGATTTCCTCTGCCTTCATATCTTCCTCATTGAGGTGCTCCACTGACTGCTTAAAACCTGCTAGTTTGTGAAATCAAAAGCATAATATGGAATTCCAGGCTGTGATGGACCTTGCTGGGTTTCCTTCTAAGATGCACAGAAGGGAGTATCTTCTTCAGGGTTTTCTGTCTCTAAATGCATTCTTACCTTATCCCCTGCTGTCTTTTTCAAGGATGTAGTACCTTGACTGCATAATAAACCTGAGAAGGGTCAAAGATAACTATCAACCAAACACA